ATTAATCGAGAAAGAGATCGAAAAGATGCCTCATTGGTTTGTTAATAAGAGCGAAAGAAGACACGCTACAATCAATCGTCGACCTTAAGACACAATTTTAATTTAATGATATTTGGCTTTTAGAGCACTTGTGAGTTGTGAGTATTGTCTTGTGTTTCAGTGCTTTTGTACATATATATCTTGCAGCTGACTTTTATGAAAGCCATAAGCTTTTAGACGTTAATTTGTCATTTATCTATCTTCTTTATACAGTTATATTATATTATTTGCAATCGAGAGAACTTAATGAACCTTTTTATCTCCTTCCCTTTCGAGCTGTAGGTAGCATGCCGAGATTATCCTCATCCACGGCACACATGTGCAAAATATCCTTTCCAGAAGACTCCTCATGACAGTCACTGTGAATTGGTAAACTATGCACTTATATGGCAATTTTTTTTTTTTTTTTTTTTTTTTTTTTTTTTTTTTTTTTCCAAAATTTTGAATGGTTATGTTATTCAGGTACTGATTTTTTATGCATTTGTTCGTTCGTGCAGTGTTTCTGTTTTGTTTGCGATTTATCTGCCCCATGTTCGAAGTGGGTCGGATCAACTGGCCATTGCCATGCGTTTAACAATGAGGCTTGGGACCAAGAAAAGAAAGCTAGGAAAAAAGGAATGAAAGAGTGTAAAAAAACGTGATGAAAAACGGAGATGAGCTTTGGAGCAATTGGGACCATACTAACGACGTATTATTGCTTGCTAGATCGGGCATTTCTTTTGTTGATGCATTATTTATAAATTATAATTTGGCCTGACCTGTGTTCTTTTGCTAAGTCGTGAGATTGAAGAACGGTGGAGGTGTTTTGCGCTAGGATCCAGGATCATGGCCTAATAGTATCCCGATTGTTTTACTTGGAATTGTAGTTTGTATAAATTTGTTTTCCCGAAAGTCGTATGTGGAGAAAATGCACTAAGAAAAAAAAAATTGTCTTTTTGTGAAGTTCGATTAGTCTTTGGACTAATATTCATGTGTATATGTGATCGATTATCTCCGCTTGAGTCGTTGCTCGAGCAAAGGGACATCGATCTTCTAGTGATGTCAAAATCGGGTGCCTTGAGGTGGTCAAGGTCATCAAGACCCTCTCCGGGTTTTATGATCTTTTTTTTGCTCGTTTGCTCTCATTTTCTTTGGAGATAAATTTTGCTGTGTTTGGCTAACCATGCAGTTTTCGAGTAATGAAAATTGCACATTCGTTTTGTGTTCTCTAAAGTGAGCACTCTTTCATGACACGAGCTTTCTGTTGGGGTCGTACATTTACCGTTTTGAACCATTTCAATATTACGCTCGCACACTACAAACACGAACATTTTCGAACATTTCAAGTAATCGTAGGTAGAATTACCTCGTATGTTCTTGCATTTGTTTCACAAAAGACATATGTATCCGTGAAGTACTTGTTGATATGTCGGTTGGCTACTAAATCTCTATCGAACAATTTTGGACAATATATGGTCGGAACCACATTTATTCAGCTACTTTTACATGATACACAAGTCAAGATCAACCGATCCTTTTCTACGAAAAGTGCAATTTGCTCACTCATTGACCACTCTACAATTTGCACGAATCTCACCTTCTCTACCCGTCAAGACCCCAATACTCCCCATTTTCACCATTGCATCGACAAACTTTTTTGACCACAAAAATTGATTATTGGCATTTTGAATCACTTGTGCTTTCGTTTGTTGGTTTGTTAACAAAGTCTGATCTGATGTAAACAGGCCTTTGTTTGTCAAAATATCACTGTAATAATTGACGTCTAACAATGCAGGGGTTTCAGGGTCCATGAAAACTACCGGTTTTGGGTTTGTGCCCGGTTTTGGGCACTGATCTT